CTTTACCCGTTTATTCCATTTTGGGTCACGGGGGTCGCCGGTGCCCATGTCCAGCAATCACTGTGCGAGGGGCGGGGTACACCCTGGACGGGTCGCAAGTCCATCACAGGGACACATAGAGACAAACGAGACAAACAACCATTCACTTTCTCACTCACACCTAGGAACAATTTAGAGTTACCAATCAGCCTAACATGCATGTTTTTGGTCTGTGGGAGGAAACCGGAGTACCCGGAGAAAACCCATGCATGCACGGAGAGAACATGCAAACTCCACCCAGAAAGGCCCCTGGACCGGGGTTTGAACCAAGGACCTGCTCGCTGAGATGCAGCAGCTCTACCAGTTGCGCCACCGTGCTGCCCTATATATATATATATATATAAAACTCGTTATCCTCATTTCATTAAGAGATGTTATAGATGCTGATGGCTGTAGACAGGAAGGATCTTTTGTAAAGGTCCATCCCACAGTGGATCCTAAGAAACTGGCTACAGATGCCGTCTGATCCGTCCACCCAGACTCGGCTGGCCTCTCGGTTCCCCCGGGCTGTAGGACCGTCCGAATGCTGGGCAGAACTCCTCTCAGAATGATGGCCACTCCTCCCAGCAGTCTGCCAAGCTCCTCGTCGCTGCGGACAGCCAATTGTAGGTGCTGAGAGACAATCCTGTCCTTCCGCAGTCATGAGCCGTGTTTCCTGCTAGTTCCAAGATCTCAGTGGTCAGGCACTCGAGCACAGCTGGCAGGTAGATGAGAATGCTTCCACAGAACATCCTTTCAACTCACTTGAGATTTGGGGCTGTAGTTGAGATATTATTTGAGCTTTTGAGATGTTGATCAGCTGCTGTTGGTTGTAGAAAACTGCCTTGTTGCCATGGTTACGCATCATAACAAATGTCCAAAACTAAAAAAGTTTCAGTAAAAATCTTTCCAGCTGCACAGCATCCGATACCAGAGGAAACAATCATCCAAAAAAATGTGATTTACATCCAGAAAAAGAGGACTTAAAGTTTCCAAAAGCAAAATCTCAGAAAGAAAGTAACAGAGCTGCTCCAACATGCAGCCACCTTGAGCGGCGCAATTCTACATATATACCTGCACTTGTTTATGAATCCTGTGGTGGGAGGTGTCATTTTATTTATGTTTTATTCATTTATTTATTTATTTATGGAAAAGAAGGGTAACTTTAACTTCAGGGCAAAACAACATTTCACTCTAAAGACTGTACAAGATTAATGATTTATGATTTATTTGTTTTCCATGACTAAAAATGACATAATTTAATATGAAACTGCAGAAAATTTCTAAAAAATGACAACAACCCTTAACCCAGTCTTTCTTCAGCGTACAGTTCATTTGTTGTGTCACAGTGCGTTTGCCTGCAGTAACACTTGTTGTATAGATAACTAAAACAGTCTGTCATTAATCTGGTCTAAATAAGAGTGAAATATAAAAAGTGAACCTATGCATTTGTCAATAATCTTACCTTCTCTCCTGAGGCTCCGGTGAGGACAAAGGTGGAAAAAACTGGGAGAGAGTATTTGGTGTTTGCTGGCCAGCACTCGATGGTGGCCCCCATGGGAAGGCAGAAAAGAGGGACGGACTCTGGCAGAGGAAATGACTCATAGTCTTCCTCAGGGTATCTGCTGAATAAGCCTTAAAGCAAAAATCACACAAAAAATGAAAATTAAATTAAGGAATCTCAGTTTGGTGAATACAAATGAAAAATCATGGCGGGGGTGAGAAATCTTGCTTTCAGTAAGTTTGGAATAAAACCAAACAAGGTCCAGTGAACAAAGTCACAAGTATAATGTAACTCATTAAGTCAGTTTGAAATCTCAACCTTAGTCGTTGACAACTGAGACAAATAAGAAATAATGAAACTGTGACTCTTTGGCCACTTTGCCATTTATATGTGTGACACCACTTGGCTCTCGTCTTTTCGGTTCTTCGTCTTGTACTGTAGGTGATTTGTTACTTGTTTCATGCTCTGTGGGCAGAATTGTAACCGGTCATTGTGTTCAAGCCACTCCAGACTTGAATTTCTTTAGCTTATCCCAGCACTGCTTATAAGTTTGGGTGTTGCCATGCTGCACTATCATCTCCGATATCTCTCTGTAAATGTACTCATTTTTTGTGGTGCTGTTCGTCAACACAATCAGAGGAAGTGGGGGTTCAGCTGTAGTTTGCAGTTTCTCTGGGCGGGTCATCAAGCGATGTATCTCTGCTGGCCAATAAACGTTTGCTGTTTACTTGTGTGAAAATCGGCCGCTTGGATCAGTCCGCTTGGAACCTCAAACAAGATGGTTCCATAACCCGGGCTGAGTGGGGGTGGGTGTCAACAGTGGGCAGGCTCTTAACTGGTGCAGTGGCGTGGAACTAATGAGACTTGAGACTGTGGCAAGCATCATATTGTCTGAGTTGTAAACACTGCAATGTTTAACTTTAGCCACTACACATGTATTACAAAAAAAATTGCTCAAAGCCTCCTTTCCGAAACTCCAGAGTAAACGTTCCTAGGGAGGCTGATAAGTCTGATCCCTCAATAGTTGGAATACACTCACCAATAACTCCTTTATAAAATTAAGGCTATTAACTCACTCTGCCACGTTGCAGGTGTTGTCCCTGTTGCCCATGTGACACTCAAGAGATGTGCCAACCATGACAGCCACACAACATCAAGAGCCCTCAGCATCTCAAGGGGAATCTACTCTATCCCTCGCTCTGGGCCACTGAGGAGCTTTTTAACTACCTCGGCAACATCTGCCATAGTAACAGACTCGCCTTTTCCTGAGTCCTCAAATTTTGTCTCCTCATACGTGGACATGGTGATTGGATTAGAGATATCCTTTCAAGTTAGAAGTTCCCCACAAAATAAATAAATACTGTAAATAAGTACATGGGAAAATTCCTCCCATGGTATAGTTATTGCTTTTGCAAACACAGAATCTGCAGTCCTTCTGACCACCCTGTACCTGTCAGCTACTTCAGGAGTTCTGTGGGAATGTTCCTCAGGCCTTCTTCTTAAGTTTGATGGCCTCTATCACTACTGGTGTCCACTAACAAGTCTTTTGGTTGATGCTAAGCCAGGCACCAATGACCAAGATGCTGCTTCCAGAAGCTGGTCACAGCTTCTGGAAGCAGCATCTGCAATTAAGACCCTGGATAAGGTCCATTCAGGGTCCATGTCTCCAACCTCCTCCAAAATGTGTAAAAACTAGACAGTTCCTGGTGCGAGTTGAACTTCACTATGATTTTCCTGGTGTCTGATCTTGTTTTAGGGTTTATGGAATGTCAGGGTCTTGTGACTTATTTTGGCAGATGGTGTGGCTCTGGTGGTATCTTTGAGCCATATCTTTTGCATCGGGACAGTTCACAATCCAGTGTGCAGTGGTTGAGTTGAGTCAGATCCTGTAATAGAGGCCATGGTTTTCAAATTACAAAAGGGGAATGTTCCCTTGGGTCAAGGTGAGTATTGTCAACAAGCAAAATAACTCAAGTATCTGAGAGTCTTGTGATGGGAGGACAGAGCGAGAAATGGATCAACAAATCAAAGTCCCATCTACAGTAACAAGGACGCTTCTCTGGTCTGTTGTTAAGCTGAAAGAAAAAGCTCTCAATTTACAGTGCCTTGCGAAAGTATTCGGCCCCCTTGAACTTTTCAACCTTTTGCCACATTTCAGGCTTCAAACATAAAGATTTCAAATTTTATTTTTTGTGAAGAATCAACAACAAGTGGGACACAATCGTGAAGTGGAATGAAATTTATTGGATGTGTCAAACTTTTTTAACAAATAAAAAACTGAAAAGTGGGGCGTGCAATATTATTCGGCCCCTTTACTTTCAGTGCAGCAAACTCACTCCAGAAGTTCAATGAGGATCTATGAATGATCCAACGTTGTCCCAAATGACTGATGATGATAAATAGAATCCACATGTGTGTAATCAAGTCTCCGTATAACTGCACCTGCTCTGTGATAGTCTCAGGGTTCTGTTCAAAGCGCAGAGAGCATCATGAAGACCAAGGAACACACCAGGCAGGTCCGAGATACTGTTGTGGAGAAGTTTAAAACCGGATTTGGATACAAAAAGATTTCCCAAGCTTTAAACATCCCAAGGAGCACTGTGCAAGCAATCATATTGAAATGGAAGGAGTATCAGACCACTGCAAATCTACCAAGACCCGGCCGTCCCTCTAAACTTTCATCTCGAACAAGGAGAAGACTGATCAGAGATGCAGCCAAGAGGCCCATGATCACTCTGGATGAACTGCAGAGATCTACAGCTGAGGTGGGAGAGTCTGTCCATAAGACAACAATCAGTCGTACACTGCACAAATCTGGCCTTTATGGAAGAGTGGCAAGAAGAAAGCCATTTCTCAAAGATATCCATAAAAAGTGCTGTTTAAAGTTCGTCACAAGCACCTGGGAGACACCAAACATGTGGAAGAAGGTGCTCTGGTCAGATGAAACCAAAATCGAACTGTTTGGCCACAATGCAAAACAATATGTTTGGCGTAAAAGCAACACAGCTCATGAACACACCATCCCCACTGTCAAACATGGTGGTGGCAGCATCATGGTCTGGGCCTGCTTTTCGTCAGCAGGGACAGGGAAGATGGTCAGAATTGATGGGAAGATGGATGGGGCCAAATACAGGACCATTCTGGAAGAAAACCTGTTTGAGTCTGCAAGAGACCTGAGACTGGGACGGAGATTTATCTTCCAACAAGACAATGATCCAAAACATAAAGACAAATCTACAATGGAATTTTTTTTTTTTTCATTTTTCATTTAGCCTTTATTTATCCAGGTTAGTCTCATTGAGCCACGAGAACTCATTTTCAAGAGAGACCTGTTTTAGGGAGCACATGGTGGGGGTTAAGGGCCTTGCTCATGGGCCCAGAGTGGGGCGAATGAGGGTGGGGGCAAGTGTGGGTGTTTCACCTACCCCACCCACAATTTTGATGTTGTCGGGGCCGGGGCGTGAACCGGCGATCTTCGGATCACAAGCCCACCTCTCTAACCTCTGCGCCACCACTCCCCCACAAATAAACGTATCCAGGTGTTGGAATGGCCAAGTCAAAGTCCAGACCTGAATCCAATCGAGAATCTGTGGAAAGAGCTGAAGACTGCTGTTCAGAAACGTTCTCCATCCAACCTCACTGAGCTCGAGCTGTTTTGCAGAAAGAATGGGCAGAATTTCAGTCTCTATGTGCAAAACTGATAGAGACAAACCCCAAGAGACTTGCAGCTGGAACTGCAGCAAAAGGCGGCGCTACAAAGTATTAATGTAAGGGGGCCGAATAATATTGCACGCCCCACTTTTCAGTTTTTTATTTGTTAAAAAAAATTGACACATCCAATAAATTTCATTCCACTTCACGATTGTGTCCCACTTGTTGATTCTTCACAAAAAAATAAAATTTTATATCTTTATGTTTGAAGCCTGAAATGTGGCAAAAGGTTGAAAAGTTCAAGGAGGCCAAATACTTTTGCAAGGCACTGTACATGTCTGCTTACTTTTCATACCTTACGTATGGTTATGAGGTATAGCTATGAAGCAGCAGCTAAAGTTAACTGCCTCCATAAGGTGCCTAGGCTCAGCTTTAGAAATAAGATGAAAAGCATGAATACTTTAGTATTTTTTGTGGCAGGCAAAAAGGTTCTATGGCTTTCACTGGAGAGCCCTACACTGAATATGTGGATTGGATAAACATCACAATGGACATATACAGGATACAGAGAATAACTGTAGGAGTAAATTACAAGAAGGACCTTTTTATTTTCCATTGGAAGAAATGGATGTTCTATACAGTATAAAACTGCCCAGACCAGATCTGAACTTTGAAACCTTTAAATGATGTACTTTGAGTAGCAATAACCACACTTCACTCCCTTTGTGTTGATGTTTGTATTGTGTGTTTTTGTCTGTTTGCGTTCATAAAAAGATACATTCAGGCAGATGCTACATGACTAATAACTGAAGTAAATGTACAGGTTACACTTGTTGTTGAATGTCAAAAATATACAGTAGTCCCTCATTACTGCACGGCTCATTTTTCGTGGACTCACTCTATCGCAGTTATTCAAAATAAGATTGGACATGACACACAATTGACTGATTGATGGATGAGCTGCACGATCGGCAAGGAATTTTTATTTAAAACAAATCATTTAAAATTATTTAGCACCTGCTGCACCTTTATACAGCCCATACTGCAGGAGAAACTTCCTCCTGCAGCAGCTCCTCCTTTCTCCTCTGTCGATCTCCGTTCTGCAGCGGAGAAGTGGGCGTGGCCGAGAGTGCAGCCATGGTAGAGAGCAGAGTTCATACATTCTGTGCTTTTTTAGAGCGTTTAGAAACATTGTTTAGAATATTGCAAGCATGTGGGAAGGGTTTAAAATGCCTTTATATATATATATAATTATATATATATATACACAAAGTATATATATATATATATATATAAATATATACTTTGTA